CGCTGAAACAAGATTATTAAATTTTGTACCTTTGGACGGACGAAACAACGCCGGTTCGACAGAGGTGACTTCTTTGGTGACCCTAGTTATGCAACCAATATCTGTAAGGAACTATAAATGAAACAAACTTAAGTAATTCAGCACACAGAAATGAAGTCATAGAATAAATAATCATTCTTTAAGATCGTAATGATTATCAACATTCACCTATTCATCTCTACAGCTGCATACACATTATAGACGAGTTTTAAAATTCTTTTGATGCAGTCTCACAAAAGCAATGTCTGTTCCCAGACTTGACTGACAATCAATTTTTCCAACCAACAAAACGGCACTGGATTAATTATGGTTACTTTAGCTCAACAAGACAGCCATATATTAAATTCTTGAATAAGAAAATAACCCAGTTTTCCAATTCGCCAGTTGCTATCAGTTGCAAACGAAACCGTTGATATTACGCTTTCCATACAAAAACATACAACTAAAACGAACCTGTAAAATCTCATAAACGAGTAACGAACTGAGAATCGTCGAAAACTCCTCCGTGATATACGTTTCCAACGCACCAGGAGCTTCCAGAATCCGAAAAAATATGCCTTCAGCGCACCACCTCAACATCGAGCGATTGAGACTGCCGTCTGGTCTGACCCAAGGTCGAGGCAAGAATCGCACCATCTCGCAAATTCTAAAGCAAAACACGTCGCGCATTCACGTTCAACTTCCGCGTAAAAAGCATTCAACAGCGAATAGCAGAAAGAACACGTTGAACAGGTATGTAAAGCACTACTTACGCATAACAGAAAACGTTTAAACTTGATTATATTATAATAAGAACAACTTACAGCAATTCTATTCAAACTAAGATAACGCCATAACCAGATAATTTTAGTAGTGCTCATACGGTAATAAGCAACATGTGAAAAAAGTTTCAGAAGCATGCGGCCTAAACTTTAACATAGGTTGGCGCAGGTTAGCGATCAAGTGACTGGTGACCATTTCAGATTACTGAGAATAAATAGGCGACAGTTGACTATGTTTCGGAAAACTACAATCACGTGTTATAGTAAATTTACGGAACAGTATAAATTTACATATTTACGGATATACCTTATGGCATCCGTATATATTTAAAATCATGCAAATGCTTAATTTTTGAGAAGTTTAAAAATTAAACATACGCGCAGACTGCATTTCGCTGAAGCTTTCTGACCATGAATCAGCTGCTCGAAGCATGTAAAGAGTATAAACGCCGAGACAATCAGCATGATCTTTGTCCAAAATGAAAAGGCATTCGGCAAGAAGGCGTCTTGAGAACAGAAAAGAACTTCATCACTTGGAGTTAACACCATCACAAATTAAAGCTCGGTATTGCCAACAGCTTTGCATGATTGCGGGGGTTGAGTATTAACGAGGAATAAAGATGACCTGTTAAAAATGCAGCAAGCAATGGAAGGATGGATGTTGGAAATTTCAATCAGGAACAATTTGCGAAATGGAAAAATTAGACAAAGCATGGGAATGCATGAGGTTCCAAAGGATGCACAGTACACATTGCACGACTGAAGAATGACAGTTGAACATGAGTAACGATGGATGAGAAACAAACAAACTGCAAGCTCCCGACTCTAAGAATTCGGCTCAGATGGGACGATGATTTAAAAGAGATGTGGAAGCTTGTAGTGACAAATGGCCCAAGACAGTCGAGCGTTGGCATTCATAGCAGGCAATGGAAATCTTCCCTAATTACGAAAAAACAAAAGTCAAGAATGTTTAAGGGCTGCATATACATAGAACGACTATGACAGATTTTCAAACAACAGTGGCTGTTCCCTGTCGATAACAACGCGCATTGCATAAGCTTATAAATATGAATGATTGGCTCATTAATTGGAAAACTGCTCAAGATGAAAGCCATACAGAACTGAAAATGAAAAATACTTGTCGTCTTTGTCTGAAACAAGGGTATCGTTGTCTGACTGTGTGACTGGATCACATGCCTAAAAAAAGCTTATGTTTAGGAAGTTGATGAATTATGCATTTACCTCTAAAGTAGTCGTGCTCAGAACGTCCTTGAACCTGAACGATTTAACCGCCCATTTGTCAATGAACCTCATACCCACGTATCGGGCAGAGTGAATACCGACAATTGCAACTAACCCTGAGTTAAGGAGAAACTCTAACGCGCGTTTTCTCTCGTTTTCCTGACCAATAATAACCTAAACATAAGTAGAAGTTCAAAGACCGGCATGTACGAAATTCACTGACACAAACAGAAATTACAAAGCATTAAGATTAGCAGTTCATTATTCAAAGTCACTTGGTAGACGATTACTTCTTAACACGATAAGTGTCCTACACCAGTAGCCGTTACCTCACTACGGCTGATTTGATTAACAGTCTTCAAGCGAATGATTCACTAGATATACAAGTTAATATTTCAAATTACGTGAATCTCCTGTTCTCGACGACATACCTGTAAGTATGGTGCTAGGCGCTATACACAGTGTGGCTACACACTCAGTCCTAACTTTTAGAAATAAATTTACGATGATTCTATTGCCGAGTCTCATTAATTTGGAAGCACCATTTTCTTCATCTGATATGTCACTCAAAAGCACATCACTCATCATCTGACCGTTTCTACATAACTACTTCGTTACCCGATATGAGTAGTGCAATTTTTTCTGCAAAAAACCTGCCACCACCACAGCAATTGCTCCAGTACCAGACAGTAAGCAAAATATCAAAGAGAAAAAGCAGTACTAGACGAAGTGCGTGGACCAAACTATCGCATATTCGAGTCCAGCGAACTAATCTTCCCCTATGGTTTTAATCCCGAACGTATCGGCTGAAAAAAAATCACCGTATTTTAAAATGCTGTGTATGACACTCACCACGCAGAACATCTGTCATTATTGACAAGTACTGTGGGTTGATAAAATTAACTCATCGATACTACTGTAGATCGTTGGTTTGCTGGAAAGCGAACGGCATAACGAAACCTTTAAAGCTGCGCGTCCTAACGTTGTGCCTTTTTCGCAGTAAACTGTCGTTTCGACCATAGCAGTGTATTATTTCGTCCATTATATACAAAAAATGATCAGTTCCCCTCCTTATCTTCTACCAGTCTATTCAATCTATCGGGGGCAATCGTCATTCTTCATTTAACATGAGGAAAAAAACCAATTTTCGCTGGTACA